TGGAGTCAAGCCTCGCATGTTCACACTTGGGGTGTTCTCGACACACTATGACTGTATTTCTAGTTGTTTTTAGCTGTTCTTCTTGTTTGATGATCAGGTATTTAGTTTTCCCTACTTGAGAAAAAATTGCAAAACTTTCATTTGTTTTTTTTTTTACTCTTCTTTTGTTTTCATGTGGTTTACTGGAACAAGTGTTTGGGTTTTTTTTGTTTAATGTTAAATTGTTGCTTTGCTCTTTAGGTACTCAATATTTTCTTTGATTCCTTCATAAAACTGAAGAACTTGATAGGTTTCTGGAGAAGTCAAACATCATGATTTTTTTTTTCCTTCAATGCTACTTCTGTCCTGCCTTATGAGAAGTTTAATAGTTAATTAAGGAGTTGGTAGTTCTTGGTGGTTGATGGAGTTTGGAGTAAATTGAATTTTAAGGAAAAAAAAGGTTCATGCAACAATATAATAGCTGAAAATAATTTCAGTAAAAAGTAAAATAAGTGAAATTGCAATATGTTAATTTGTGTATGTACTTGGGTTGGGATGTTTAGTTTGAGTTAAGATATGTCATGAGTAAAGTCAATGTGACGATGTAATGCATATACTTTTTAGATAGTTATGAACAGAATATAATTTTTCACATCAACTTGTAGTGGCTGGGCACTCTGTGTTGACATTTGCTTATTTAAATTTGCACTCAAATTGAAAAGCATTAAAATCTGTTAGTCATTATTGTGAACCAAGTTCATAATTCAGACAAATAAATTGTTCCTTTCAAAGTAAAATCAGTGCCATATATTTTTGAAGTTTTCACAGAAAAGAGAAGGTTTATGTCTGTAAATGAAATCAGGTTTTTTTCACTACATGGAAATTAAAATATACACCTATGCATTCTGAATAAATGAATCTCAGATTGTCCCAGTATTCTGCTATTTTTATTACAATTTTTATTTCAGTAAGCAGCTGCTTTGTTGGAAGAAACAAAATTTATTTGTTCAACCATAATGTTATAAACATCGTCATGATAACTGGTTAATATTGCTGTTGTAACAGTTATTATTATAGGGTGATATCCTATTCAAACTCCTGGCACAATCTATGTAATATATACTATCTGTGTATTACAAATTTCTTGGCTTACTCTGATTGTGCATAATAGGATATTGTTTGGAGCTGGAAGAGAAATGATAGGCATACTTAATTCATGCATCACTTATGAGTTTGATTCCTTTAAAAGTCCTCAGTTGCTTTATAAATTTGATTAAACTCATGCTAGAATTACGGTATATGGAAAAGCATGCCTTATATAACTTGAATAACTTCTTGAATAACAGATAATACGTATTTTTTTAATATATTTTTTCTTTCACAAAACCTTATTTGTTACCAGATTTTTATGCATATTAAAGAGACCTAGGGCTTCTTTAGGCTTTTGGTATTCTGATGTATTGTTTAAAAAATATATGTTTATCACAAAAAATGTAATAAATGCTGTATGATGGATAACTCTTAACAAAAAAGGCCTTATTTTAAATCTCATGTTAAATGGTCTACTTAAGTATTCCTTTAGCCTAGAAGAAGCTGTGTGAAATATCACTAGAAAGCCCTACATTGCCTTCAGCAGCGAGATGTGTTCTGTTGAACAGTGGAAGGCTGTCCAATAGAAATGAAAAGTCACTGTTAGCATGTGAGAAAGTGCTGAATTCAAACAGTGTTTCCATCGTGTAGAATGTCTTCCAATGTAAATGAAAGCATATAGAATTGTCACCCTGTAGAGACTATTCTTTAATTTGTTTTTATTTATATTGAGAAGCAAGTTCATAATGACCATCTGGTTCTTGACAATTTCTACAAAGTGTTTTGATTTCACTCTGGAATTCATACTAAATTTTGAGTTAAATTGCACAATGGAAGTTGCCACAAGAATGTGTTTTAAGCTACATGTGTTAAGCAATAAGGCAGAAGTTCATATGAAGTAATTTTCCTGAAATAAAGCATAGTGGCTGTTGTAAAATAAATGTATAATTATTCAGTGTATATCTATTTGTGACTCATTGCTCTTTTCTCATAGTGTGCAAAAGGCAAAAAACTCTATCATGGACTGTTGAATTTTGGATAATACCTCTTTTTAATATTCAAAATTTTATGTGCCTTTCTATTATAAATCAAGTTTGACATAAACTATTGTAAGATAAATGCTAAGTGCTCATAGAATTCTTCTGGGAATATCTCAAAGCAATATGTGTGTTTCACAAATACACATGTATTAGACCATCTGGGTAGAATAATTCAGTACCATTGATTCCTTTCCAACGTGTACATTAAAAAGAAAAAAGGTGAAAAATGTATTTGGCAGAAGCTAACATTACAAAGGCAGATGTATCATCCATCCAGCGGAAATGTAGCTTTTTTTTTTTGTTTATTTTGAATTGAAATTTGTGAAGAGTTATACCCAGGGGTGATTTAAAAGTAGTGTGCCTGCTGTTGTTTATCTACTATGCTTCTATGTATTAATGGCATGCTCTCATTCCTGATGATTCATTTCATAACACATGCCACCTCTCACCAGAAGATCAATATTTAAAATATGAGGCATTTGAGAAGGATGAGACATTCTGCTGCAAGCAGCTCTGCAATTTTGAGCACAAGGAAGACATGGACCTGTGGAGCAGGTCCAGATGAGCGCTGAAAAAATGTCCAGAGGGATGGAGCAGGAGCTCTTCTATAAGGAAAGGCTGAGAGATTTGGGATTGCTCAGTCTGGAGAAGAGAAGCTGCCACAGAGACGTTATTGTGGCCCTTTCAGTACTTAATAAGAAAGTCTGTAGCAGTAGAACATGGAAAAATAGCTTTGAAACAAAAGAGGGTAGATTTAGATGAGTTACAAGGAAGACATTTTTAATGATGGGGGTGGTAAAACACTAGAGCTGTTTGATCTGAGAGGCTGTAGATGCTGCACACTCAGAAACGTTGTAGATCAGGTTGGATGGGGCTCTAGGCAATCTGGTCTAGTGCAGGTGTCCCAGCTTATGGCAGGGGGTTGGACTAGATGACCTTTAAAGGTCCTTTCCAACTCAAGCTGTTCTGTGATTCTCTGGGTCTGTGATTGTATATCATGCAGATAGATTCGAGTAAAAATGCCTTTTATTTTCTACTCTTTATATTCATCCTGGTATCTAGACTTACAATGTAGGCTTTGGCAGTAGAAAAGGGATCAGTGACACTTGAAGTGTTCCCTTGAATCAGCACTGTAAGTAGCTCTCTGTGTGAAGCACAGCATCATCATATTCTTCTATTTCTAATGCAGTTTATGACTAATAAGTTCCTTCTATTTTCTCTGCTGTAAAGAAATCTTTCACTAATGAGATCCTTTTCTGAGACTTGCCAGTGCAATGCATTTACTCATAAGACCTTCTTTTTTTTTTCTTTTTTTTGTGCTTACCAGTTGGACATTTTGTCCCAAGTAGAACGACTTCTTTCACCATTGTAAATCTAATATGTAGATAATGAAGTGAAAGTAATTAGACACTAAAGAGTAGAATAAATTTTTGCCTTTTTTATTGTGTAAATCTGGAACAGGAAATAAAGTTCTGAAAATAAGAATAATTTTCTTTCTTTTTCATGAGAGAAGTACTCTGATCTTGGTAGAATATGGCATATGTGACTTTATCAAGAGCAATTAAAACCTATTGTTTGTTGTGAATGGATATTATTTATGGGATTCAGGAGAGAACTTCTAACTCGTCACAGTCAAGGCCACTGCTAGGCCTTTCCTTTAGAAAGCATTTTCCTCAAACTAAATTAAAGAGCAGCAAAACCAAAATTTTTTTTAATGTGATCAAAAATCCCCTGGGGACATTCATATTAAAGTGTGGTTAATAAGAAATATCTATAATTACTTAGCAGAAACACTTAATTATTAATTAAGGTAAGGAAAAGATATTGTATTCATTAATATTTATGGGTTTTGACTGTGAATCCTGGTAGACAAATAGAAGAGTTGGAAGAAAAAGGATTCACCTATGACTTGTCAGTTATTAGTTTCATCCAAAGAAGGTGATTGACCTGAAAATAAACACTTCATAAAGACTAAAATTTGACATAATCTCCTCTTTCTCTAAAGAACTGATGCCCCAGTATAGTTAGGGAAGGACTTGCTGCACTTGAGTTTTTAAGGTTAATTTTCTTTCAGCTGAACTAGATCAGGTATCGATTCTCAATTGACACATTTTAAATTTAAATAGAGAATGAACACATATCCTGTATAGTAATTCAGCTGGAGAGGCATTTAAAGCTAGAGTATTGATTAGCGTTTGCTTGTTTCTGCATAATTGATTGTGAACTGCAGTTAAGTCTTCTTTTTCTGAAATGCTCAGGTTTTATTCTGTATGATGGTAGGACTTGCATACTAATAATTGTGAGATAATGATTATTTTTCTGTGTCTGTATCAAATGCATATACCATTTGCAAAGCAAACATTTTTCCATTTTGTCATGTTTCCTGTGCTTAAAAGGGATGAGATTACTTTTTTATTTAATTTTATTCAGTTTGCTTGGCTTTATCATTTTTTTTAGAAACAGCTGTATTAAATGTGATTACACATTAAAAGTGATTGCAAAGACCTGTGTGGACATGAGGTCAAAAGTAAATAAAAAACGTGGTGAGGTTGTAGGTTAGTGCTGCAACAGAGAATTGAAAGTGTCACTTGCTATTCATGTAAATCATAGTGAGTGGCCAGTGAACCATTTCTTGGTTTGATCTCAGAAGTTGAGTTAGAAGTGGGTAAAACCAGCTGGTTAAAGAATATGATAAATTATTGTCTGGTAGTCTCATGAAATATTGGGTAAAAAATCCCCAAAACCTGTGCCTCAGTACTGATACTTCTACACATAATACAGCAAGAGAAAATATTTAGAGACATGCTGCTCTCCAATGCAGAGTTGATTCTGTTACAGTTCCAGTAAGCGTTTCTGTTGGATTAACCTGAATGTGATATTTTTCATTGGCAGATAATTGTGATGATCAGCTGGTGTCTGCTTTGCCTCAGTCATCTTTCAGTAGCTCGTCAGAGCTGTCTAGCAGTCACAGCCCTGGATTTGCAAGGCTTAATCGAAGAGAGGGTGAGTTTCATTGGTCAATTGTTAATTCTGGGTTGAAATGAAAACAGTTTAGATATTCAAGAGCATATGTTACTGTTTCAAATGATTTTTCTCTGGTGTTTGTATACCAGCCATGAACAATAGTGTAGTCTCAGCTCAAGGAAGTTATGACTCTCAACTTCTCACCCTGTGGTAAGCTGTCTGAACATGAGCCCTCAGTGGCTGGAGCTGCTCTGTGGAAGCAGCATCTATGGATCCTGACTTCTATTTAGTTACTACCAATGAGGAATCTGATGAACAAACTGTTTCAAAGGCACTGTCCTAGGAAACTTCACTGAAATATTGTGTCTTAGGTCAAAATCTAATTCTTAATAATTCAGCCACAATATTAGTGATGGTTACTTAGAGAATTCAATTACATACAATTTTCCTCATGTAGTCCATTGTTATATTTTGCATTATTTAATTGAGAGGTATATAAAATAAATCTTAATAGTATTTTGTCCTGCCAAAATAATTTCTGTCATTGAACCTCCATGATAGACTGGAATATTTGCAATGTCTGATAGACAGAAACACTATAGTGAAGAAGAAATATCCCAATCTGTTTTATTAACCTAGTATGCAGTATAAGCATGAGCTTTTGTTTTGAATAAAGTTGTGATATCAATGGAAATTATATATCCCAGAAGGAATTCCCTTAGTTTGAAGTAATATATGCTCTTAGAATTTTAAATAACACCTGTATTATCACCAAAGTTAACATTTTCATATTTGTCTTCCCTAAAAATGTATGTTTGATAGGTTTTTCCATTTGGCTCTCTTCATGTGCTATGATGTTGTTTGTGCCATGTTAAAATGCATTTTTTAGATTTATAATTTGCTTCACTTTGCCCTGTACTGTATGCACCCCTTAGAAATGCTTGTAACCTTACATCTGGTCTCATTTGAGCTCATGTAGATACAAAACAGCAGGAAGTTAATTAGAAGATTATGACTGTCTACCTTCTCATTCTGTGTACCTCAGATTCATGGAACTGAACAGAGTATAGGTTTGAATGTCTTATTCATTTGTCATTGTTTAATAATATGGCCAGATTGTTTGGCTAGATACCTTTTGGTTCAGACATAATTTTATGGAATGGTATAGGTGAGATGAGATGAAAATTTCTTCAGTAAATTAATCTTTATTAAATTAGTTTAAACTTATATTTTATTTTTTTTATTTTTCAGTGAGAGTAGAGACTCACTACTTGCTATGGAACCAGGAATACATTTTCTACATTGAATTTGTGTTTAACTCTTTCTTGTGAACTTGCCGTGTAAAACCTGATTATATTTGTAGGTGTATATACGTGATAGCTTTATTTGGATGGAACAAAGCTAGTCATTATACATACGTGGTTATAAACAAAAACATTTAGGCCCACAAGAAATGATTGCTAAACCATACAGACTGGAAAAAAACATCTGTTATTAGGAAAATACAGCGTGTGCTGTCAATGATTTTATGGAAGCAATGAACACATCATTAGAGTTTTAAAAGAAATTGTGCGATAACTGAAATTGTGTGATAACCGAAAGTGGGTTTGCATTTAATATAGATCATAGTCTACTTTGAATAAAAACACCTCTTTTTTTCAGCCAAAGTTAGTGACTGGGAGCAATTGTGACCTCCTAACATTCATTTAGGACAAGCAGATTGTAGTTTTAATACAATAATATGCTTGGTTCTTAAAATGCCGAAGTTAGGGAAAATTGAATGTATTTTAGACAGAAAAAAGTTGAATATTTTTACAGAGATTACATGGGAGCCAAAATGTTTTCCTTCATCAAAAAATAAATAAACTAAATATGCATATACACCTACACTGTTTCAGTTGGCAATGGAAAGTTTAAAAATAGCAGGAAATTTATCAGAAATGTGAGAAGTTGTACTGAAATGGTTCTTTAACCATGTAGATTTGTGTTTACTAAATGTAGAAGATCAATAGGAAAAGTTAAAGGAGGAAAGAAAACTTACGCCTAAAAAATAAAAGTACAGTATGTACTTTATGTGAAGATGTAGTAAAAATGATAACAGCAGAGAATGATTAGTAAAACAGCTAAGTGGGAATGTTTCAGCTTTTTCTCCATAAAGCAAAAAGATAATGTAGTTGAACTTGATAACAAAAAACATTTCCAGTCCATTAGCAGTTAGGGAAAGTGATAACATCCAGGAATAACACATTAAATGTTCTTCAGAGTTTTAATTATTGATAGTTCGTTGATTCCCTGAAATTTTCAGATACTCAATACTCAAGCACAGCTAATGAATACTTCTGCTAACTGCTAAAGTAGTTACTTTGACATCAGCTTTTCTTGCAATAATGGAAAATTAGATAGAAAAATGAAGTAGAACTAAGTAAAAAAATCTCAATCATTAATAGCAGTTAAATATTTTTAATGGAAAAATAATTTTTTTAAACCCCTTATTTAATTATTTGAAGTTAGAAGACATAAAATGCAGGGGTTTAATATAAGTAGAGTTTGACTTTTGGCCTAATTTTGTATGAATTTTTAATTTTAAATAATAGCACCATATCAGTGCAGTCCAAATTAAATGTATTAAGATCTAGCTGGTGGACCTCCCATAGACCCACTGATAAAACAAAAAGCACAATACAACACCTCATAATGCATTTATCATTACTATATAAAGGTGCTATCAGAGAATTTCAAAGGAAAGTCTAAGGCCACCTTTGTTCAATACTTTTGTTGATTATATGAAAGTAAGCACAAATCATTTATGATGAAATGCATATTGAAATGAAGAGTGGTGAAACAGTGAATAATCATGGCAAAGCAATTATGAAGAAATATGTAATCAATATACCTGAATATACAATATAAATATACCAAATATATAATATAAATAAACACTTTAACAGGGTGAGTTATAAAGCATTTAGAGGAAAGAGCAGAGGTCATGCTTATTAAAGAGGAACTGTATTCTACAAAGCTGTGGCTGAGATTGATCTGGGAATTGAAATAAATTAGCAATCCCCCTTAGCTTCTTCTCTAGCAAAAAAATACCCAAACCAAAACAAACCAAAGCAAACAAAAACAAAAAAAAAAACCCAAACAAACTTGTGCACAAACAAACAGAAAAAAATACATTCTTATTTTCTATATAGCTTTATACTTTACCACTGAGCTGCATACTAAAATTCCAGATGCTGAAAGTCTGGTTGAAATTCTAGGTTGTCTTCCTGTGCCAATGGGAATAGGTGACACAAAAATGTTCAGGGGAGGTGCTCTCTTTTTATGTATCTATACACAAGAGAGTAAATGAAACAAAAAGGAAAAAAGAACAAAGATAAAGTGCACCTCTTGGCAGGGTAAACTGAGGCATCCCAAAAGAAGGGAAAAAGCAGACAGCATTCAGAGCATGTCTGTCCAGGATGGTGATAGAAATTTAAATGCCAATACTTAACCAGGACCATCAAGGATGTGTTTCTGTCCACTCATGGCCAGTAATTTACATGATGAGTACTCAGTTGAAGTCTGGCACTATAGAGGGCTTGCTCTATTTGCAAATTCTTGATGTATTGTCTCCCAGCCATGATATTTGAAAGAGCCCTTTACCACATGGAGAGAAGGTTGTGTCATTGTTGAGCTCAGCATTTTCTAGTTTTGCCTGCATTGCACTGACAAGCTGGTTGTGCACACTTTCTAATTCACTATTCCAGTACCCTTGGAAAAGATACATTAATTGCACTATGAATCACCATACCATGACCTTTACACCCAAGAACATAGGCCTTCTTTTGAATTAATGAACTTCTAAAACCTTTCAGGAAAAAAAATTGGAAGACAGTTGTTCTACAAGAGTGAACATACCACTGGAATAGCCTTAATATTTGGACAGCTAAATAAGCTGGATACGGATTTGACTGTGATTATCTTACCCCATATTCACACACAATTAATTGATCAAAATATGACAGAAGAAAATTGAATATAGAAGTTGTTAAGTAGCCAAAAAAAACTGGCTTACAGCTTTCTCTTTCCCTGAAGTAGGAAGAAACCCATGTATTTTAATTATGCTGTCAGCTTACCCTGCCAGTTTTTCAAAAGCAGCCTGAAATTTTGAATGCCTTAACAGCAGGTCTATTTTTCCTCACCTCTGGTATATATATGGAACTTCTTTGTCTTTATCATTACTCTTACCTTACCATTACACTGAATATCCTACGCTTTACTGCATTCTTTTTGTTATAAAGAATATTTAAAGGATCGTTTATTCAGTATGGTATTGTAAACTCCATACTTATTTTTCTTTTTATAAAATGGAATACTTTAATCACTTTTTGAGAACTCAGACTAAGTAGGTCAAAATGGATAAATGAATTCTAGCAATCAGTAGTTAAAGAAAACATCAATTCAACAGCTAAACATCAAGTCAACAGTTAAATAAAAAAACCCATTTCTTACACAATAAGAAAGTCAATTTTCATCAATTTTTATAAGAAGTTTAACCTTCATAATGTAATGCTAACAATTAAAATAAAATGGCAAAAAATGAAAAAAAAAACTTAATTGCAGCTAGGATTGTATGTCACCAAAGGATAATTAGGAAAAGCTTATCCCCTCCATTTCAGCAGTATGCAAATGAAATTTATTAAAGCTGATTCTAGTTTAATACAAGGAATAAGAAAATGAAACTAGAACAAAAAAAGATCAAGTCTGATGTTAATCACTATGTTTTTATAAATATAAGCAAATAAGTTGAACCATCTAACATCATGACACATTTTTATGACTTACCTGTTAATGTATGTATATGTCTTAGGAAAAAGGCAGAAGTAACAATCTCAGTCTTTTGCTTTCAAACAAAATACAATAAGAACTTCTAGAGTTACTTCTTCATAAAGGACCAAATGATGCGCTGTTGTCCAGTGAAACTCCAGGACCATGCAGTTTCTGAGGAAGAAATGAATCCGGTTTTCTTTGGTTGGTTTCTTTCCTGTAGCTATTAC